TTTGTAAGTGGATGGATTATTGTTCATAGTTTCTTTAAATGCATTCCTAGGATGGGAACATACCTCTGCTGCTTGCAGTACAAAATGGTCACATGGAAGTCTGCAAATACCTTCTAGATCATGGAGCAGACATCAACACCAGGGATAAAAATGGAAGGTACAGCAGATTAACATGTTAATTCTTCCCCAAGGCTGACTGTTAAATGAAGCTCTCGTCTCAAATTCTTCCCAAAATAGTTGTTGTTATGTGAAATAATGCCTTCTGTACTAGACAGCATATCCTGATTGTTGAGAAGACTTACAGAATTCTGCCTAAAGGGAAAGGTGAAACAGAAACTATGCAACTATAAAACTAGATGTGCCTTTAAGATTTTCCATGGGCTACCAGAGCAGTAAATCCCATTTTTCAATAATTCCTACAAGAATCTGATTGATAGTACTTAACCACACATCACTTTGTATGTGTCCCAGTTTTAAATGCTGCTCTGCTCTTGGCATGAGTTTCTTTCTCCAACTTAAATCCTAAAACTGTTACTTGGAAGCAACATCCGTGGAGGGTTCTTTTTCCTACCATAATGCAGCCACAGCAGCAAGGGAAAAATACAGTAGAGCTGTACTGAGAGTAGAGTGGAGTTGCTGTTGTCTTAGAAGTTGCTGTTTTGTTGTGTTAGTAGATACCTAGTGTGTTTAAAAAAAAACAGTTTACCTACTGTTTTTAAAAAGCAAGATCCTTGTGGTGAAAAAAGCACTTCTTTTGATGATACTCATGAAGTTCAAGAGTCTTTGAAAGTTATAGACTGTTTTATAAACAGTTGGTTAAACTGTGAAGGTAAAGCAGGATGCTGAGAAGACTTGGCACTTACAATAATCAAGATTATTATCAGGTGTATGTGATACAATGCCCATATTGTTCTTTGGAAACACCTGGGAGGATAAGACTGGCCCTAACTTGTTTTTTATCAGTCCAAAGTTTATTAGTGCACTCTGTGTTTTAAGTTGTCTAAAGAAAAACCCTTTGTCATGTTGGTTGGTTTGAACGGTGTCATCGGTGCTTTGAACCTGAGGTGCTGCCCACTCTGGGACCTCTGCCTTCCCCTCACTCAGCTACTGGTTAGTCAACAGACAATGCCAAGAGTTTCTTGTTTAGTTGGATTAAGGCGTTTTCTGTCAGATAGGACAGACTTGCATTTTTATATTTTCTTTTTCAAGGAAGTACTGTGTGTAGAAGCAAGAAAATGATGTAACATGGAATATACCATTTTACTTCTCACTTCCCTTCTGGTAAAGAGAGTGACTACTCTTGCATCTCCTGTTCACGGAAGTGGTTAAGTTTTTACTGAATAAGGAGAAGCTTTATTGGAAGAGGAAGGGGATAACCTTTGAAAATGGCATCTCCAATTTCCTAGCTTGTCCACACTAAGTGAATTATTTTGATAATCTAAAGCCATCCCTATGACTGTGGGAGTGTTATTCAAGTTGCCACTCAGCACTACTTTTTAGCACAGCAGTGCAACAGCCATCACTTCTCCAGGGCTTGCCTATTACAGGGAGTACATTTAATTCATCAGTGAAATGATTGTCTTCATACCTAGCAAATCTAGGTATCTATCACTGCAGTAACTTTTCCGTTTCATATCTGCACTGAGGGATGTGTTTGCCAGTGAACTTGACCAACCTATTAGGTATGTTTTCATGTTAAGAAGGGATAATTATGCCCAAGCAGGAAAGCAATATTAAAGCATGCTTAAAAGGTGGGGGTTTCTGTGTTCTGTATGTCTCTCATGACTCCTACAAGTCATTGAGAAAAACAGATACAACCTGTTAGGAAAACACTCCTTCTGTATGCTACCCTTACTCTAAGATCTGGCACTGTCTAGCTGCCCTGTGTTGGAGATGGAATTGATTGTGCTCTAATGAACTTTCTCCCCCCTAAAACTCAAAGTGGCTTGGGATTTGACGTGAAACCCATCTCTCAGTCTCACTGAAGATCTTTGAGATTTATTTGGCTTTTTGGTTGAAATCT